CCATTTGGTAAAAGAGGAAAGTGGCCTACTAAACGACCTCTCATCAGCACCCCTCCCTCAGTCTATTTCAGTATAATCAAAGTACTAGGTATGAAAGGCAAAGCTGTAATGCTTTTTAAGAAGAGCATGTCCCCATGATCTCAGAAAAGATTTCTTTAAGACACAAGAAACATTAACCGAACAAGAAAGGGTCGATAAATTTAGCTATTAAAATGAAAAATTTCCGTTGTCAAAAGACCATTGAAAAAGGGAAAAGAGTGAAAATACTGTGTTCTAATACAACATTTGTTTCTATGGTGCAAATAAGTTCCTCTGGGATTGGTAAAGAGGTAGGAGAATGACGTCACTTTAACTGAGGTAGTGCTGGTCCTCACTGCATTTGCCCCAGCAGGCTAAAGTTGTGAATTACCAAGTAGCAGCAAGTAAACATAGATTATACAAACACAGCTGAATGTTGCATGTGCTGTGCAGGATGCTCATTCACCTGTTTGGTCTCTCTTCTCAATTTGAACACGTGCTTTATCTTAAAATTGTTTATTGTACATTTTTTTTTCTTCATTCAGTAGCCTCAAAACTTCTTGTACCCCTTTCTATCAAGCTACCTTTTCATTTTTTGCTTTTTTTACATTTTTTAAATATTTATAATTAGGAATTTAACATGTCTTTTAAACTGTATAAATATTTTTAATTAGGATTGTTATTGATTTGGTAGTGTTACAAAGTTGCAACAGGTTTTGAGAGACCGACCCTGACCCTGTTTTCTCCATAATCTCTGTTATTTTTGGTGTACGATTTTACAGAAAGCACTGTTTCAAGAAAGCATATTTCACATTTTAGCAGAAACACCCTATGTGCAACATACGTATTTGTACTTCATCAGTACTAAGACACAATGAATTCACATTAAAACTCTCTACACTTGGAATCTTTCAATTATAATTGCTAGGTCTTTTTTAGGAATAAAATAATGGTGCATTTTGGAAGCTGCTGTTTGCTTAGACCTGATGTACTGTGATATCCAGAAAGTAAAGAATTACAAGGTAATTTTAAAGAAACAGGCAACCCAATGGAGAAGCGGCAAAATACTTGAACAGCCACTTCAAAACAGAGGAAATCTGTATGGTTAGTAAATAAACAAAAAGAATGTTTAATCTCTTAAGGCAGTTGCCGAATAAGTACACGAGATGCCTTTACATACTTAGCGTCTTGACAGAAGTTTAAAAACCTGATGACAGGTGTTGATGTAGGCACGAGAGATGCATACGGTGTGATTCCATTCATATGAAGTTACAGAACAGGCACCACTGAGCTGCGTTGCTTAGAAATGCATTACTTGGTGAACACTTTTTTAAAAAGAAAGGAAATCATCACAAATATCAAGATGGCGGTTACCTTTGGGGGTGGAGGGAGGGAGAGACTTAGGATTTTTGGCATCCTGGTAATATTCTGTTTCTTCACCTGGGTGGGTTTACTTTACTATTACTTGTTAAACTTTACATATACATTTTATGTACTTTTCTGTAGCTTTCAGAATGAAATAAAAACGGGGGAATGGTCACCTATGTCAAACGTTGTGGATAGGTCAGTGAGAGGAGAACTGAGTCTCGACCATTGGGGTTAAGCAGAGTGGAGACCTGATGACACAGCTGACGGTCTCGGTGGCGTGATGGGGGCAAAGGTCTGACAGGAACTGGCTCAAGAGAAAGCGAAAGGAGAGGAACTAGAGACTGTGGATAAATAGAATTCAGAGGAATTTTTATGTAAAAAGGAGAAATATGGTAGTGACTGCAGGGGGTGTAGAAAGCTTTCCAGTATATAGAGAGTATCAGGAAAATACAGAGATACATTTTTTTGGAATGCAGAAGGCAATGGCGTAGGTTGGGGAAGGAAGAGAACTTTTTACATGTATGGGGTTACATTTCTGGGGGGAGAGAGGAAGTGAAAATTTATAACGCTTATATTTGTAAAGAGAATTAACCTTAAAGCTACTTTATAAGTCTTGGAAATTTGTATGTCGGAATCACACATAACATTTCATATCTGTTAATGGAAAGAATCATGAACCATCTTGCTCAGCAGTACTTTGCAGAAAGAGAACGTAGCCCAGAGGGCTTGAGTGCTTGCTTAAAATTGTACCATTAATCAAAAGCTAAGCAGGGTCGGGCCTGGCTAGTACTTGGATGGGAGACCACCTAAGAAGACCAGGTGCTGTAGGCATAAATAAACAAACAAATAAATAATAAATAAATAAATAAAATCGTGCCATTAATTGTAATCCCAGATGAAAACACTGCGTTGCTCCTCTCCTTTGGATAAGTACTCTTTTTATAGTAGTATCTGTAATATGGTTTTTCTTAAATTGGGTTTTATATAGTCATTATGTTTTATAGTAGAGTTTATTTGGATAATATTTCAATTAGCCTTTGCTGCATAACAGACCAACCTAGAACTTAATGGCTTAAAATAATGATTATTTAAAATATTATTTCTCATGATTCCATGAGTCAGCTGAGCTCAACCAGGACCACTCATGTGGCTGCAGTCACTGCAGCCCAGCTGGGCCGGGGGAGGGGGTGCCAGGTGTCCTCACCTGCATGTCTGGGCCCTTGGTGCTGTTTGTTGGCTGGAGTCTGTCTGCGGTCGGTAGTCCACCCTGGACTTTCACGTATGGCGGTGGGGACATTCCAAGCAGGTAAAGATGGGAAGTCTAGACTCCTGAACTTGAACAATATCACATCTTCCACATTAAATTATTCAAAGCAAGTCATAAATCCAGTCTGGATTCCAGAAGTGAGACAACAGGCTCCATCTCCTGATAGGAGGAAGTGCAAAATATTGTGGCCAAGGTTTTCCATATATCAGATAATTAAAATTTTAAAACTTAATCATTGAATTTATTTTCTAATGTTAATTTTTACTTCCTGTGGAGCTGAAAGCTCTTGATTTGGGGGAATCTAGCAATGTAGTTTTAGTCAACATGAAAACAAAAATTTGGCAATGAAAAAAACATATTAAGAAAGAGGAAGTTATATTTTCTAGATTTCCTATCTTTTGTGATGTGAAACAGACAAATATTTTTATAAAATGGATAAAAATAAGAGGAAATAGAATGTAGTAGAATGTAACATAACTAAAAAGTCAGAGCAATTAAGTTTCCCATGAGTTAATTTAGAACAGCATATTGCAGGCACTGTGCTGATGACATTTGTGTAAAATTCACTTGATTTATTCGACAACTGTCCATTGAGTACCTACTGTGATTCTTACCCCATGCCAAGACTTGGGGCTGTCACTCTGAACCAAGTAGACGTGGCCCCCACACCTCGGATGGGAATCAGGAGGTTCTTCAAAGAAACCCTCTGAGCCAGGCCCTGAAGGATGAGGAGTTAGCTGAGGTGAGAGTGGGAAGAGGACTAAGACGTCTTCCAGGGACAGGAATGGCTTGATCAAAGCTGAGTGAGTGCAGAGAACATTAAAAGAGTTGACAGTGTATGATGGCTAAAGCCCAGAATGTGAAAGGGTTGGGGCAAGAGAAGCTGGAGGGGTAGAGTCTGAATTTTATGCCAAGGGTTTGGGAAACCATGGATGGGTTTAGAGGTTTTTGCTCAGATTACTGTTTTCGGAGAGTCACTGCCTGCAACTTGGGTAAGGGTAAAACCAAGAAGAAGCTTTCGTTTCTAATGTCGTAAAAGTATTGATTCCTGGTTGAGTATAATTCGACCTAATGTAGCAGTGCTGCCGTTATACCTTGGATCTGAAAGAAAGATTTTTAGAATTAACCCTTGGACAACTTGGATTTGAGCTGTGCGGGTCCATTTACATGCAGATTTTTTTCAATAAATATATAGTCAGCCTTATTCTGTCTCCAAAAAATATGCAGATAGCTTCTTTCGCCTGTGTGGTTTGACATCATCATGACCAAAGTCAGTTTCATCAGTCATTTCTTTGGGAATCAGGAGGGGTCCCCAAGACTTCCCTGGGTTTTGCATTGGGGCTTCAACTAACTGCGGATCCAAAACAGTTGTTTTTCATCGCGGTTGGGAATCCAGAGATGGAGGGCCTGCTGTACGCATTGTCCTGTGTCATTTACATAAGGAACTGGAGCTTCTGTGGATTTTGGTATCTGGCGGGGAGGAGGAGGGCGGCGGGGGGGGGCGGTCCTGGAACCAATCCCCATGCGTACCAAGGGATGACAGTATTAAGTTCTGGGGGAGTCAAAAGGTATATGAGGATTTTCAACTGCTTGGGGGTCAGTGCCCCAACCTCCCCCCTCCCCACCCCATATTGTTCAAGAATCAATATGCTTTAACGTGAATTCCTTAATAGGGAGAAATTTAGTGCTCTGTTGCTATAGTGAATTTCATTTAAACAGTTTAATTTTTTTGTAATTGCTTGAAGAGAATAATGGCTAAGAAGAAATATGTGCAATACTTTAAGCCTTAAGTCTTTTATTCATTTATCTAAAATATTTCATAATATTTATCCACGTTTTCAAAGCAGAGTTCATTAAAAGAACTTTTAAGAATTGTTTTTTGTCTTTTTATTGTCCTTCATGCCTCTAGTGGAATGTCAGTTTCTCTTCTCTAGGAAAGAAAAAAGTACTTAAGATAAATACGTAAAAATGAAGTCTATCATTGGTGGATTTCTCCCTCCTTCAAGTGTTAAGTAATAATAATTAAGGTTTAAGAGAGGAATTAACTGTTGTGTCTTGGAGAGTTAAGCTTTCTTTAACACTAAAATTTTTTAGTCTTTGTAGTTTTTAATTTTATAGCTCTCTGTAGATTTTATTAAAGTATATTCATCCTACGTTATTTATTGTCCTACTTTCATATAGGAATGTTAACTCGCCTAAAATTTTCTGAACTTCATTCTAGTAGGTACAACATATTCAATAGTCTGTTTCTCCCATGTGTTTTCTATAGACTGAATTTTCTATTATTCGCGATATTTTGTAACCTTGGAAAGCACTTTACAACCTATTTTTTCTTTTTCTTTTTTAGGCACAACAAGGGCCCCCAGGGATGGGGAAGTCCCAGGGGTGGACTATAATTTCATTTCTGTTGAACAGTTCAAAGCACTGGAAGAGAGTGGAGCGTTATTAGAAAGTGGAACGTATGATGGTATGTCCCCAAATATTGACAACAGCAATCCAGAAGAGCACCTGAATTATCGCCATTATTTCAGAGAGAATTTGATTCGTGAAATACCATTTTTTAGAGTTGTTTTTTTTCTGTCGGTCTTTGGGAAAATTTTCTTTTGATTAGGATATTTGTAGTTTACTAGTTAAAATGGGATTAAACAATAAACAAAGCATTTCATTATAAAGTTGATTGTGATCAGTATACTAAAATTATTCAGACTGACCACTTTGCAGATTTCATAGTAATTCACATTTATCGTATGAACTCAGCAAGTGTTTGTAGTTGCTTTCTGTTTGAGATTGAGAATTTAAATACTGTCTACTTTTAAAAATCTATTTATACCTTGGCTAGCTTGGAGAAAAGAGAATAGAGATTGGGGGAAAAACAACAAAAACAAGATAACTGGTTTTCATATCTCTTTCTTCTATCCACTTGATTCTACAGTACAGATTTCAGATCAATTTCAATTTTTAAATAATTCTACGTTGGATACTTTTCCTCCCCTTATCTCACACTCTTCATTGGCAAACTTATCCACCACTCCCATAGCACCCTGTACTGTTCCGTCATTGCTTTATCGTACTGTTACAATTCCCTTTTTCACAAGCTCTGTGAAGGCAGACGTCATATCTTTCTTCTTCAATTTTATCCTTAGTGCCTAGAGATGCTGTTCAATAAATATCTCACCTTGATTTCAACATAGCCAACAGATAGCGTTTGTGTTCTATCCAAAAGAGTAATAATTCTTTATAATTTCTCTCGTTAGCTGTACCACGAGTTCAAAACAATGGAGTCATCATTTGCTTTCCTCCTTTTTCTCACAATTCCCATCTAGTCTGTTACCCAAACCAGTCGTTTCTTCCTTCGTAGCAGCCTTCTCAGTGCTTCTTGCTCTCATCACCTCACGGCCGGCCCACTGGACTAGCTCAGGAAATACTAGCTCAGTAGTCCCCAGGCACAGCTCTGGTCATGTCTCTCTCCTCTTCAGAATCTTCAGTGATTTCCTTCTGCCTGTTCATGTTAGTCTCAGCTACCCTTTCTGGTCCTACTCCCACGAGTCATTCATTTACTCATTTGATGCTTCTTTCATTCATTCAACAACCCATTTATTAAGTACCTACTACATGCCAAGCACGATGAGAGGCACTAGAAATACTGTGAAGAACAGTATTGAAATGATACTGCCTTAATAAATCCTATATCCTATTGGGGAAGGCATTCGAAACACTAACAAACAAAATAACTATAAATTGAGATGTTATACAGGAAACAAAAACAAGGGATTTGATGAAAACAGTAAGAATGTCTTATTTAGATCAAGTAGCCAGTGAAGACTTCTCAAAGGAAATGACAGCTACTTATTTTTTCATTCTCATTCAAATAGCCTACTCTCATTCACCTCCCTCTTACAGGCAACCATTCTGATATGTTTAACATGTATGTTTTGTTTGTATGTGTTCTTGCAAAACGTGTCTTGTGTACATTTACTTATTTACATCTGAACTGCGTTCTAGATCTCATTCAGTTTTTAACTGTTTTCATTGACCATTCTCCTAGTGATGACTTCCAGATTGCCTCCAACTGCCCACCATCACTGATAAAGTTACAGCCAACATTCTCACACATGTCTTCTTATAGACCTGTGGAACATATACCCAAGAGCAGAATTGTTGGGTTATGAGGTGTTACCTCTACTTATCTGATGAAGTGGTTTTGAGTAGGGGAGCTCTGCAGTCTGCTTTCCCACCAGCAGTACATGAGGGTTTAATTCCTGTAGCCGCTATAAGAATGACTCCACATCCACATCAACGCTTGGCATTTTCTAGCTTCATAGTTTTGCCAATCCGATGGTTGTAGGAGTGGCATCTCATTTTAATTTTAGTTTCTCTGCTAGTGAGAGTCTGAGCTTCTTTTGCTTGTTAGTTTTTCGGATTTCTGCAAATTGTCTATTCATTTGTTTTGTCTGTTTTTTTAATGGGATCTCAATCATGTTTAAATTTGCAGACATTTCTTAGATACTTGGGTATTTATCTAGATAATAACCCCCCCATCGGAGATAGATGTTTTCTTCCATTCTGTCACCTAATAACCTTGTCCTGTGTTTCTTCATTAAACAGAAATTTTGATTTTTATCTATCTGATTTATCACTGTTTTCCTTACGACCTATGCTTTTGAAATTTAAGAAGTTCTTCTCTGCCTCAAATCACAGTTATTCTCTGACATTTTCTTCCGTTAAGTATAAGGACACAATATATGACACCGTGACGTATTGCATACTATTAATTACTTCAAAGGAAATTCAATTCAAATATCAATTCAGATATCAATTCAAAGGAAATGCAAATTGCAATCACAATCATATGCCATTTCACATTCATCAGATTGATAGAAATTTTTAAAGTTTGGTAAATGGAAACTCCCAGACACAGCAGGCAAGAGTATAAAAGAGTATAAAATGGTACGATCCCTTCGGAGAACATCTCGGCAAAGCTAGTGAATTTGAAGATGCATATAACTCTGACCCAGCCGTTCCTTCTCTAGATGCCTCCTCTGGGAACACCCTTGTCTGTGTGTATATGTAGAAATGTACCCGAATAGTCATTATAGTAGTCACTATTTGAAACAGTGAGAGAATAGAAGCAACTCTCTTTTAGTAGGGGAATGAATAAAATGCATATTAATTTGTTCATAAAAATGGACTATTATGTGGCAGTTAAATGAATTAGCATCTTCATGTATCAACAGGAATAAGTCTTTGAAATATAAATGAGTAAAAAGAAAGTTGCAAAAGGGTATGTGTAGTGTACTATTTAGGAAAATATATGAAATGTTATAAAAACACTTTATGGAGCTTTTATGATCAATATTACATATGCTATGTATGCATATACATATGTCCTAGATATATGCAATATACATGAAAATGACACATGCAAACCTCAGGATAACTCAGAGAGAGAGTGGGAGGGACGGAGACAGGACGTTAGGGCTTCAGTAGTACATGTGACCATAAGTGGTAGGTCCTTGAAGGGGGAAAAGAGGGAGACCTGAAGGAGTCTGGCAAAAGTTAATATATGGAGGTTGTGTAAATAAATAGATAAGGATATTTCTAAGACTATTTTCTGTGATCTTATATATATTTAAAATACTTAATAGTTGCTGGTTCTATTATAAAATTTTAAAAAAAGGAAAAAGCCTTCAGAAAAGAAACAAAAAGGAAAAGGAAAAACTCCGAAACAGCTTCAAAAAGATGAAACCTTTCTGTTAGTAACTATATCCAGAGTTCATAAACCTTGTGTTTATATATCTTGCTGTACCTGCAATCTTGATATTTACCAACAACTCAAGAAATATAGACCTAATTTACTTATAAGCAATGCATATTATTAAAACTAACATTTTTTTTTAAATGAGGAAACTGCCAGAATTTATTATGAAGTCCTAAAATCTTATCAATGATTATGGATAACAATCATAATATCCTGAATTTTCACACTAGAAAAACATTAAACTTCCTAGAATTAGATAGTAATTACTAAGAGTACACATTAAAATGTGTTTGTAGTGAAAGTACAATCCTTAGAAAAAGTGGACTTTATATTTTTGTCATGGTACATCCAAATTTCTGTGTAGTCTGACTATTGAACATCATGCAGGAAAAATTGAGAGCATTCTTTTCCTGGCCAAACCTGGATTTGGATTTGGAGCATTTCTGTGCCCTTTGCCCCAGTTTGTTTGGTTTGGTTTTTTTTTTGTTTTGTTTTGTTTTTGCTTTACTTATGGGCCAGAAAGTTTTTAGAGACCCTCTGAGTCTGCTTTAATAGGAATCTTTGCACCCATCTGCATGACGCAAGTAACTCCACGTCAAATGTGGATAGGAAAGCAAGGGAGTAGTTGAAGGGGGGAGAAGCAAGAAGGCGTTGAAAAGCTTTTTAGTTTGATTTCATTGTTTTGTCCTGTGTATTTTAATGGCAGTACTGCCTAAAGTCAAATTTCCAAAGAGTTCATCTTAATCCTTTCCCCTTTGCAGAATGCACTACTTAAGGTAAACTGTTATTTGTAGATTTGCCTCAGTGTTCTGAAGAACGTTATTTTTTTTTTTTTTTTTTTTTACAACTAGGAAGAATAATTGGTTATATACCCTATTAATTTACCTTATGTGAATGAGCATCTTAATTACCTCTTTAGGAGCCAAGGAATTTGAGTAGAAGTTGTGATTTTTTTAAAACAATAAAAGATCATGAGTATTTTACTCCCTAAGCATGTTTATCTTCCTGTAATATTAGCATAGTGATTGATAGAACGTCAAAACGAGTAGGAGCCACAAACTGTTAATGCATTAGACCCGCTGAGTGCTTTCCCATTGTATTAGGCTGCCTAATGAGAGCTACGTGACAAATTGAGATGATATTCAATTTTCATTCTATTCTGGAACATTTTTATTGCAAAAATAACAGATCCTCAAGACTTAACATATTAAAGTATTTCTTGCTTTCCTGAGAGTTAGCCAGTATTGAATTATGCTAATCATGTCTCTATTTTTTCAACAAATTGTCAGATAAAATAACATAATTAGAATGCCTACGAAAACTTTTAAAAAGCACTTTTATATAAACAGCCTACATTGCAACAGACTGGTTAGTTCTTAGCTTATCTTTTGCCCATGTATTTCCTCATTTTATCAAAATCGTTCATTATGTTACACATCAGAACATTTCTGAGTTAGTTTTCTTCTTCTACCTTTTATTTCAGTCTCACACAAGAGCATTAATGCATTTCAATTCACAAATTAGGCCCTAGTTGAAAACCCACGCAAAGCAAGCCCTTTTGGAATAAACAACATACTTATTATATACATATATGAATACATATACATGTGCGTGTATGTGTGTATACATATATTCAACTTTCTGGCCTTACTACAGATAGTATTAAAATGTTAGATAATGTATAGTGACGGGCACTTGAAAAATTAGTTCTTTTTGCTCTTTTCACCTCCCCATCTCCTAAGAAGAAGTATTTTGTCCTTCTTTCGGCCAGCAATGGGAATTCACAAACTTCAATGGAAGCTAACAGGGCAAAGACATATACTAGGTCCTGTCTTTCTGACTCTCAGTTTAACATTAGTGCTTCCAGCTTCTGTTATTTTGTCCACTTCAGGAAACTTCTATGGAACTCCCAAGCCTCCAGCGGAACCCAGCCCTTTCCAGCCTGATCCAGTTGATCAGGTCCTCTTTGATAATGAGTTTGACACAGAATCCCAAAGAAAACGAACTACATCTGTCAGCAAGATGGAAAGAATGGACAGCTCCCTTCCTGAAGAAGAAGACGACGAGGACAAGGAAGCCATTAATGGCACCGGAAGTGCAGGTTCGTAAACAGGTGAACAACTTCTCACTGATCTTCCAGGTTGACTTGAACATGACACTGAACTGGCAGTAGTAAAGTTTTTCACAAAGCATATGCACAGTGAGTGTCGAGATTCTAATACTCTTTGTAAAGGTTTTGTGTGGAACAGTGTATCTCTGTCAGTCATCTTATAAGCTGAAGCGAGTTGCCTCAGATGGCAATTTTGATAAAGCAGTAATAATAAGCTATCATTGGTAATAATATAAGATGCTGTTACTCTGATGCTTAAAAGATTTGAGATTCGTTTCTAATGCTGGAATATAGGAATCTTACTGGCTTAAGTCCTACTTTACAGAATATGAGAAATACGTAGATGTTTTAAGATATAGCCTTCAACCAAAACAAAATACAGAGATTTGGAAATAGGCTAATAAACTTTATCTGAAAGGTTTGTTAGCAGTGCCTGCGTTATAGTTCAGAATCACTCAAGGAAAATTTCCGAACTTAACTCATGTTTGCATTAAATGCAAAACCAACAGAAATTTAGTGGTGGAGAATCTTCTCCTTCCGAGTACCCCTAAATAATGTGATTGCTTAGGAGATTCTTATAACAGAGAGTATGAATGGGAAACCACAGAATCACAGCAGAACTAATTTCAGCGCTGTTTATTATAAGCCACCGAAACACTACAATATAATCTTCGTAAGAGTCAGAATTTTTGCTTCTTTTGTTCATTGTTGTATCCCTTGCACCATAAACAATATCTGGCACATAGTTAAAAAAATATTGATACCCAAAAATGAATGAATTTGATCACATCCCCAGATTTGCAGAACCCTTTATCATATCATTTTCCCAAAGCATTCTGATGTTTTTCATCAGTTATTAATTTGCCATGTAGATTGTATTTATTGTTTTAATATATATATTGTTTGTGTCCCCCTCCAGAGTGTGAGTCCTGTTTTATCGTCCTAACATCTCACGTGGTTATACCACATAATATATTTGATGTTTAGTGAGTTACCCCCGGTATATTTTGGGTGAAAACACCTTTTCATTCTGGCTACTGTATTGAGAATGGGCAGTAGGAGGCATAGGTATAAACAGGGATGCTAGTTAGGAGGTTAGTGCAGCCATTCAAGTGAGAAATGGTGTTTTGGAGCCAATGAAAGCATGAGAGGTGAGAAGGGGCCTGGGCTGGGGACATTTGCTGGCAGACTGGATATGAGGTGTGAGAGAGCAAAGGCAAAAAGTACTCCAGGCGATTTAACTGGGAAAATGGATTTATTGAGATAAGAAAGGTTTTACAAGGAGTCCATTTGGGTTGGAAAAGGTTAGTGGGAGCTCAGGTTGGTATATTTAAGTCTGAGATGTCCGTTAGACTTCCTCCTGGAAATGTCACGTTTGAAGTTGGACTTAAAAGTGTCCGTTCTGGTTTGAAAATAGATGTTTGGACAGCATCGGCAGTTAGCTTGTATAGCAATGACACCGAATGAGATCCAAGAAAGTGAGTGTAGAAAGAGAAGAGAAAAGGTACAGGGCCTGAACCCTGAGAAGGCACCCTAATAACCAGAGATCGGGGAGACTGGGAAGAGCCATGAGATAGAAGGAACAGCAGCGGGAGAGGGCAGTGCCCTGGAAGCAGGGGAGCAGCGTGGTCAGCCACGTCAGATGCTGCTGACAGCTCAAGCAAGAGAGCACTGAGCATTGATCGTGGGATTTAGCTATGCGGAGGTGATTGGTGACCTTGAGAACAGGTGTACTGATGAGAGATCAAAAGTCCTATTGGCGTGAGTTCCAGAGATAAGTGGAATGGTGGAAGCGAAGGTAGCAAGTATAAACTTTTTCCAGGAGAGAAATGGGGTGGTTGCTAGAGGGGCAAGAGAATTGTTTATTTTTAAAGAATGAAGAAATAACTTGCGTTTCTGTGGATGAACACGATCTTCTAGATAGAGAAGATGGGGATACAAGGGAGAGAGTGAGAGTTGCTCGAGGCAAGAGGTGATGGGATATAATTTATAATCAAAGAGTTAGCCTTCTCCAGAAGCACTTCCATAGTGATGACAGGTGGCGTGAATGGGTGCCATTGCTGTGTAGATGTGATGGCGGGACTTTGCGGAAGTTCTCTTCTGCTTCTGTTTTTCTCAGTGGACTAGGAACAAGGACATCACATGAGATTAGGGAGAAGGGAGCAGGAGTGGAAGATTTTAAATGAAGCAAAGTATGAAATAGTTACCTAGGAGAGAGTCAGAGTGAATAGGCCGAAGAAACGTCCTGTGATTGTCAGACATCATTAAATGCCCTCTTGAGGTTAGTGATCGTGAATTAAAAGTGACCTAGTTAGTGTGGCCAGTGCCCAACGACGTGTGCTGCTGTAGAATAGATGGAGAGTGAGATTTAAGCAGAATTATGGTTCAGCCAAGCAAGTATAATAAAGGCTGGGACAAAGGAATCAGGGTATTTACAAGGGAGCAACTACGGTGGCTGGTCATGGAATGGGTGTTGGGTAAGTCGGACAATGAGGAGGACATGGCGAGGGCGTGGATGGGGATGAAGGAGCAGAGAAAGGCAGCAGGGTTAATGGATGATAGAGCTTGCGTAGATAAGAGGTGGATGGGGTGGAAATACTACAGCGAGTGCGGTGTGATGCTGTGTAAGGCCTCTTCGAAGGTTCTCTGATTCTGAGGCACTGACAGCAGTTTGGAGTTATAACAGTTGTGTTACCTTTAAAGTTCTAGAAACAAGTTTGAAGTGCATGGATTGCGAATTCCCTAGACAATAACCAAATTTTAGTATTCTTACCTACGTTATGGACTTTGAGACTCTAAAAGGGTTTTAATATCACCAACAGAGAATTAAATTATAGTCATTTAATAAAAATCTTTTGAGTGTAATTTTTTTAAAAATTAGTGTCGTTTTAAAGACCTGAGTTAAATGTATCTGAGGCAGCTTGATATGGCAGTTAAGACCACACACCACATAGGTTTGACTCCTGGCCGGACTGTTCATGAGTTGTGTAACCTTGAATAAATTAACCTTGCTGTGCCTTAGTTTCCTCATCTATAAAATGAGAATAGGAATAATATATACTCATAGGGTTGCTGTGAGGATTATGAGTTAATATATATAAAGTACTTAAGGTAGAGCCTGGATGTAAAAGGACTATGTAAGTACCGTTACAGCTGTCACCATTAGTATTCTGTTGATTGACATGTATTCAGTATGTACTGAATTGATACCAGTGTTGTTTTTGTTTCTTTCCCAGACTGGTATCAGAGGTGCTATACAGGGTCAATGTCACTTAGCACGTGAAGAAAATTCAATATGTTTGTTTATGGTTTTCAAAAACTACAACAGAATGGGGACACAACAGGAAATTTGCAATACTTGGCGTTTTATTAGAAATGAAGAGGGCTGTTTGAGGAGAGTATAAATTTCCCCACTTCTCATGCTTTTCTGTTTTGAATAGAAAACAGAGAGAGGCCGTCCGAGTCATCTGATTGGATGAAGACCATCCCAAGTTACAACCAAACAAACAGCTCCATGGACTTTAGAAATTACATGATGAGAGATGAGAATCTGGAACCACTGCCCCAAAACTGGGAAATGGCCTACACCGACACTGGGATGGTCTACTTCATTGAGTAAGCAAATGTCTGTCTCTCCCCTGACGTGCCCTGTCACTGTGAGGCTTGTCTGAACAGGTCTGAACATAATTTCTCAAGGCTTCCATTTCTTTTTTCTCTCTTTAAAAATATTTTTCATACACATTCTAGTTGATTCTTAATCTGTCTTTTTCTCTGGATGGTTTGTTTGTTTGTTTGTTTTTCCAACCTCTGGTTTTATTAAAAAACAAAAGGATTAAAAACAGATTTGTCACTAATAATGAAAAATGTAAGGACTAAAGAGAGTTTTGCTTTGCCTTTTTTTTTTTTAACTTTTGGGTGTAATGAGCATTTCAAGTACTATCATCATTTGCAGGGGCCTATTTCTTAGCTAAGTATTTTTAGTTCGAGAGCTTGAGTTTGATATATTTAGGCAATATAGTTAAATAATATAGAAGGAAAATATCACTGATCCTCAGAGTTTTTGATATAAAACCAATTCACACACAAAAAAGTATTCTGTGAAGAAGCACTATTTGTGTAAATGTATTTACAGAGCTATAGAATACCACATGTATTCAGTCAACCTAAAATTTTGTATTGCTTGCACCTGAGAATAATATTGTATAATTCTTTAGAAGTTTATCATGAAGTATTTTTATATTCTTATGCAGCTGTAAATTCTCATCTTTAAACTTATTTACTCAGGTAGAATATGAATGTAGCGAAGTTACAGAATATAATAAAATATTGAGGGCTGGGTAGTATACTCAAAAGAACATATACTTAGAATTGAATTAGGAGTGAGAGACTTGAGTGTATTTCCTCAATTGGTCCCAAATTCCACATCCTTCACACAGAGTGAGCATCTTGCTGTATCAAGTGATATTCTAATGTTTAAAAGACAGATTTTGTGTGCATGGTGTTCTTTTCACCATAGATGGTAAATTATTGATTATGTATACATTTATATAAACATTAATGACCAGGATTATACATAACAGATAAAAATCAGGTATACTCTTCTCTATGGACAGTTTAAGGTATTTTTCAAAGGTAATTTAGACTTTTGACTTTCATGCCGACTTTAGAATAGAACTAAACCCTCAAGTAAGATGTAGGGTCACTAAAAGTGACTGGAATATCTTTAGAAGCAGATTATGAGACATTGATAGTATTTCACCCTGCAAACAGGGATAAGTTAGTAAATTACAGGAGTGGGGAATTTATACAAGAAATGTCTTTATAGACAAACATTATTAAAGTGGATTAAAGGACTAAATGTAAGACCTGAAACTATTAAACTCCTAGAAAAAAACATAGGGTAAAGCTTCATGACATTGATTTTGGAAAGGACTTCTTGGATGTGACACCAGAAGCACAAGCAACAAAAACAAAAATACAGAAATAGGACTTCATCAAACTTAAAAACTACGCAGCAAAGGAAAACATTCAATAGTCGAAAAGCAACCTACCAAATAGGAAACATTTGCAAACCATGTATCTAATAAGGGGTTAATATCCAGAATGTAGTTGAATATTATCTGCTGTTGGATAAAGCTCTCTTGTTTGCTAAAGCTAATGTGTTTGGTCTGTGACGGCTGCTGTGAAGTCATGCATCTTAAAGAGAATGTTAATATTAGTCTTTAGCTGTTATGTTGTGGGTCTAGCCTCTATGGGCATACTTTTACCTTGGGAAATATTGGGTAAAATCCTAGTGGATTGCCTACTTGTGCTATGTAAGCAGTAACAATTTTGGATCACTGAAACCAACGTTAAGCTTTTCTAAAGTAGCAATTTCGAATTGGGTTTAGCAAGATATGTCCATGATCCCCATCCCCCCGCCCAACAGTCTGCCTGTCGTTAGGCTTCTTTGGAGTCCTAATCCTTTTTATTTTAGTAAAATCAATTTAACGAGTTTTAGTTTGGAGGGAATTATCTGACAGAGTAGGAACTCAGACTTTCTAAAAACAATCCCAGTTTCTCCTACTTAGGTTACCTATTAGCAGATAGGAGGTAAGCCTGCAAAGAGTGCTTCTACCACAGTCTACTAACTAGTGTCATACCTGGCAATGTGTAAGAGGGGGCTGCATTGTAGCTGGCTCCCTAAGTAGCTCAGGAGTAAAGGTATAGAAGATATGATCAATTCCCTGAAACCATTGGCTTCATTTCCTAAGAGTTGTCAGTGTAGAGATTAGTGAGTTAATCTTATGTTAAAGACACCCGAGAAAAGATAATTTGTTCATTGTTATCCTCATACTGCTTTGATAATTGTTATGGCGCGAACGATTCTGAGACCCACGGAGCCAACTGAGATTAATTATGAGCCTTTATTAGCCGGCCGGCGACTGACTCTCTACCATGCAGGGTTAGAGGAGATCAGCCCCGAGCTTTCAGAGGAGGCAGCTGATAAAGCTTAAGACCATATCCGGGTCGTCTCCTAAACAAGCAAGCAGATTACAGAAGTGGAAGTTGGCTGTTAGCATATCTTTGCCCGGAACAACACCCTTAATTAACAAGTAAATGGATTACAGAAGCAGATATTGGCCATTTTCATATCTTATACAATACACTTCCTAAACCACACACAAGCAAGTAGGACAACTTCTGGTATCTAAAGATATTTCTTCCCTGTAGCTGACTTAGCTAGTTGGCTCACTTGAAAATTTTCCACCCTTAACAATAATAACATCAATTTACATTTTGTTGCCTTCCTGTATATTTTCTTCCGTGAGATTTTCTTTCTTTACTATCCTCATATTTCAGATACTTAAGTTTAAACCCTGTCTACTCAGCCCTGTGAGATTAGTGTCTCCTGCATGGTGACCTGGTCTGAAGCGAATTGATTGTGACCTAAAATGAAATTAAACAGACACTGCTCTTTGAAAGCATCTGTGACCTACTTCATAACAAGGGGTGTGGAGTATCCTTTTATTCTACCTTTTTTTACTGTTAAATATATGGTCCATACTGATGAAAACTTAGTTTCGTAGCGTCGAGTGTAATTATATCCATCATTTTTACTTGTAAGTTGCAGAAACAGACACTTTAAAACTTTTTATTTAACTCCGCACTGTTTTATTTTAAAGAGCCCCCATGAGGCCAGAGGTTCTACCTGATTGCGTGTTCACCTGTATATTCTCAGCCCCCATCGCAGTGTCCACACGTCACAGTGACTCAGGAAATATAGTGTTTTTTTGAAGGGAAGGAGGAAGGAATTCAGCCAGCAAGCAAGGTTCCCAGTGCAGCTTTCTCTGCTTCATTCTCGGTTACCTTTCCTTTGGGGCAGTTTTGGTGTAAGAGACTGAGAACAATAGAGTCATTGAGTCAGGTATGCAAACCGGAGCCTGCAGTCAAACATCATATGCCTTTTAGTCACCTTTAATCTTTGCCTTTGAAATATTTTTCTCCTTCTTTATTTTACTGTTTCTAATTGAAATCTTTATTCTACAGCCACAATACCAAAACGACTACCTGGTTGGATCCTCGTCTTTGTAAGAAAGCCAAAGCCCCTGAAGACTGTGAAGATGGAGGTAGAGTCAGACACTTTTTCTACCATACGTATTCTCTTAATCTTTTCTTGCTCTTTTCATCTAGATAAATAGATTTTTCCAAACTCCTAAGCAAACCGTAATGCACATACGCATATACGCAGTGGGGTAGACAGAATAATCAGCTGACTCTGGTAATTTTGTCATTGCATCTAATTTTATGAGAGACTTTCTCTTTTTGAGGATTATACAATTAAATCTTTTAAAAATAATTAATAAAAATAAATTTGCACCCCCAATTTTCATATTTGTTTTAAAGACAAACTTTAAAAATTCTAAATAAATATTTAAATAAATTTGGTGCATTTTCAACTGCTGGGTCAGTCCATTATGCCTGTTGAGCCTTCAAAAATATATTTAATTATCAGTAGGATAGATATGCTGGTATCTGTGGCTTATTCTTAGCCATTTACAGGAGCGTTAGAAACTCAGAATCTTTAAACCCCCTACCCCTCACTCAATTTTTATTGCTTAGTAGAAAAATTCTCTGAGAATCATTAGATAATAATGCTTATCTGTCTTGTGTATTATGGGTTCTGTTTAATGGTTTAGTTTTATAAATAAGTATAGAATTGACCCCCAACCAAAATTATTAGCTACGCCTTCTTGAATACAGGGTACAGATGAATAAAATTTGCATTCTTTTTGTATCACTCATCAGAAATTATTTGCCTTGGTTAAAAAAAGTAAGTGTCTTAGAATGAGGTTCAGATAGTCCTCCTATAGATTGAATTCTAATCTATAAAAATAATTAAACAATTTACACATATTTTGTTTGACATGATTACAATATTAAAATTTTCTTCTAAGAACAAACAATTGAAAAATGGAATTATTTAAAATTCTACTTGCAACATTTTAAAAAGTTAGATGCCTTGGAGCAAACCTCCTGAAAGATGTGGAAGTCCTATATACTAAAAACTACTAAGCATCACTGAAAGAAATTAATGAAGACCTAAAATGAAGAGATATACTATGTTCATAGATGAGGTGACACAGTATTGTTAATGATATTCATTCTTTCTAAACTGGCATTTACATTAAATACAACCCAAATCAAAATCCTAAAAGTTTGTTTTAAAGAAAATGACAGGCAGATTCTAAAATATATATGTAAATGCAAAGGCTCTAGTTAGCCAATCTTACAAAAGATTGAAGGACTTAGGCTATCATATTTGAAGACATACTGTAAAACTACAATAATCATGACAGTGTGGTTTTGACATAAAGGTAGACAAATAGATCAATGGAACAAGATAGAAAATCAAGAAATAGTTGTATACATATGTGATATCTTACTCTGCAGCCTAGGTACCAAGTCAGTTCAATGAAGGGAGGAAAATCTCTTTAAGAAATGGTGCTGAAACAACTGGATATTCATAAGCAAAAATGAACATCAACTATATCTCACTCCATACACAAAAATTTCAGGTGGATCAAAGACCAAATCATAAAAGCAAGAACCCGAAAACTTTTAGAAGAAAACTTAGGAAAGTATCTTAATGACTCTGGGACTAGTAAACAGTAACCTTTGTACATCGCTGGACAGAATGTAAAATGGTACAACTGCTTTGGAAACAGTTTGACAGTTTCTTGAAAGGTTAAATATAAATTTGCCTTATCACCCAGCAATTCCACTCCTAGATATCTACCCAAGAGGAATGAAAACATATAGCTACACAAAGACTAACATGCAAATATTCATAGTAGCGCTGTTCATAATAGCTAAACAGTGGAAACAGCCCAGTCAAATGGCCATTGACCAATGAAAGGATAAATAAAATGTGGTATAATCATGCAGTGGAATACTATTCAGCAATAAAAATAAGTGATATACTGTATATGCTACAACATAAACGAAACTCAAAAATGTTATGCTAAGTGAAAGAAACTAGACACAAAAGACCAGCTATTACATGATTCCGTTCATACGAAATGTCTGGAATAAGCAAATCTGTAGATTAGTAGATAAGCAAATCCAGTAGATTAGTGGTTGCCTGGCTCTGAGGATGGGAATAGAGATTAATTATAAATGGCAAAGGAATCTTTTTGGGGTGATGGCAGTGTTCTAAAACTGGATTGTGGTGATGGTTGCACAACTCAGTAAATTAAAAATTTTGAACTGTACACTTAAAACAGATGAATTGTATGATATGTAAATCATACCTCAATAAAGTTATTTTTTTAAATGGCCGAAGGACTTGATCAGACAGTTCACAAAAGATAAAAGAACAACCAATAAGAACACGAAAGGTGCTTATCACTACAGGGACATGCCTTGTACACCCCTTAGAACGGCTTAAGTCAAATAACACTGACAACACCAAAGACTGATGAGATTGTAGAGTAACTGGAACTTTCTCTTGTTGGTGGAGATGTCAAATTATGTGAACCCTTTGGAGAATTTTTGGCAGTTTCCTATGGGGTATTGTCTCAAGAGAAATGAAAACGCATGTTCCCAGACTTTCCCTGAGGGTCATAATAGCCTTATTCGTCATGGCTCAACCCCAGGAACATCCCACATACCCATCAACAGGAGAATGGATAAACAATTTATGGTATATTCATACAATGAAATACTACTCAATGCAAAGAAAAAATGTTGATAACATTCAACAACACGAATGAATCTGAAAAATGTTGTTGGATCAAAGAAGTCAGACACAAAAGAATAGTACTAATATCCATATTTAAAGAGAACAGGCAGATTCATCTGTGTAGATAAAAGTCAGAAAACGAGGGATGAGAAGGAAAGTGGGGTGAATTGAAATAATTCTCTGGAACAATGGTTATATTCTCTTTCTTTGGGGTAGCAGTTACACAGGTACATGAGATTGCCAAAACTCATGCTTTCTAATTGAACAAGCACTTACATTGATTTTTAGATCATCAAATGAGCGCTTAAGATCTGTGCGTTTTGTTGTCTATAAATTATACCTCAAGAAATAATTTTTAAAATCTTTTTTTTAAACATACTTTTCTCGTCTGTAAGGCTTTCAGCAGTAAGTTCTTTATGATGATATCAGCCACTGTAAAGATAAACTAGAATGTATGATAATATAGAATTTGACTTTTGAAAGCTTACGAATCCTTTTTCCTGCCCACTAAATGTTTCAATTCAATTCTCTGCCATTTCCTGTTTTCTCTGTAGAGCGTCTTTATTTTCCTAGCTTTAACTTTGTTCTAAATTCTATTTCTGTATTTCCTACAGACTTTCCTGTTGATTGTCCTCCTAGCACTACAAATAAACATATTTAAAACTAAATTTAACATTTTTCTCCTCAGCCCACCCCTCTTTCTGTCATTGATACCATCCTCGTAATCATCCGGGCCCTCTGCTCTTGCTCTATTCCCTATATAGTTTCCAATCCCTGTTGTTCTTTCTTTTTTTATACCTTGCCAATATATCACTATGAAAAGTTTTCAACATACAAATTATAGAATTTTACAGTGAATTCACATCTACCCACCATTGAGATGATACAGTGAATATTTTGATATATTTACTTTTTCACATAGCTATTTGTCCATCTATCCTATTCTACAGTTACTTTTCCAATCCATCCCTTATAACAAAATGCTGGCAACTCAAACTGTCTTTGGTGTACAGGAAGAAAATGTTAGAACTTATTTTTTATGTTTCTATTGGGGAAAAAAGTAAGCTTCTCTACTATTTTACATGCACATTGGCAATGGCAGTTTTACTCATTCGATATGTCAGATTATCATATACACTACCCAAGAGTGTCTTGAGGGAAACCTGGACGTGGCACTGTGCCCAATTAAGTGGATTCAAAGACTCCGTTCCAAAGTTTTAATCCACACAAAATTGAAATGTGGCTTAAAAAGTCACAAAGACACTACCAATTGAAGATAAAATAAATATACAGGCCCAAGCTAACAATAAAAAAACGGCAGAACGGACAGTTTCTATGTCATCCTTTCACTTTTAAAACCACGTTGAGGTAAAATAGTAATTGTTTTTCAGTCTTCATCTCCTTTTTAAATTTGTATTTTATATATGCTTTATTCAGTACATATTAGTAGAGTAGTACATATATTTAGGAATAAATACATATCTGTTCAAATTTTTTACTGAGAAGGCTGTATGATCAAAACACTTTGGCAACTCTGCCTATTAATCTTTCTAAAATACAACTGCTTTCATACCTCTCCCTTGCTCAGATACCTGTAATGGCTTCCTGCTGTCCGCAGAATAGTCTAGACTCCTTGGTGAAGTATTGAAGATTTTTTTCTGTAATTGAACCATATTCTGTATTTCTTTTTCAAAGTATTTTCATGTCATAAATATAACATATTTTTGTCTTTGCCTTTGCTGTATGCCCATTTATCTGCCAGGAACCAGCCTCGTTCCTTCTAAGCTCAGATCTAAAGTATAATTTCTTTGTAGCCTCCTCTGTCATTCTCTTCTAGGTCAGAATTAGGTATTCTGTCCTCTGTGTAATGGCATATGTTTATTGTAACACTAACTATATTGCATTGTAACTAGATACCTAAACTCTGTAAGAGCAATGATTTTGTCTTACTCGTCTGTATATGCCTTCAGTAGAGACTGACGTGTTTGGAAGGAGGGAAGATGGACAGGAAGGAAAGAAGCTACTCTACCCCCAGATTATCTTGATCATCCTTTTCGAAAATATTTTTTTGGTGTCTTCAAAGTTCTGGAGTGAGGCAATAAATAATAAGCCTGTCTTCATTCACTAGTTTGGAGTCAGTAGAGAAGGAAATAAGACAGAGGAAACAGATGAGGTTAGAATGCCAGCTGACAAGTGAGCGTGGCTTTGGCTCTGCATCTGTGTGAGTCCACTAGCATGTTACCCCTGCGGGAGGCAGACTTAGACGTTCCGTCTCTGGGCTCTGGGCTCCTCTGCAGACCTCCTTCCACAGGGCAGACATGGTAGAGACCAGACCAGACCAGACCGCATCCTCTCTGCAGGCAGGTCAACACCCACAACAGTGAG